CCAAAGTTCCAGATGTCGATATCTGGAGGAACTCAAAGCTTGCTGCCAAGTTGAAGACTCATTTCTTGCTCAGTTGAGTCGCCGTTTGTACCTGCTCACGCGCATACATAGCGCAATCGAAGAGCTCAGGTGTCGCAAAAAACCGTCATGGTCATCGCTTGCACCATCGAATTCGAATGATGCCACACCGAGTGGATGTCCAGAGTGTGCTGTTGAGCTTGGAATTAGACTTTTGTTTGTAATGGTAGACCACCTTCTCGATAAACACGAGCAGCCACAACTCATAAAAACATTTTTGGAACAAATTAATACTTTACTAGGAGACTTGCCACCGTTGTGCATAACAGAAAAAACAAAATCAGATGAGCGTAGCCTTCTTAGCACGGCAGCTGTGACTGACACGGCCCGCAAAATTATCATTCAATGCGCCCTCGTTAATGTGGATTTGCACCCGCAGTCTCTTCGCAGTCCGTCCGCATCAAAACTTCATTCGCTCGCAGCCATTGCCTTGGTGCGCATGGCATCAGCTCGTGCTCGTGCAAGCGATCTGCTCTGTATTGTTCATGGATTGCTCCAACGTGACGACAATTTTGCGATTTCTGATGCTTTGACAAAGAAGCCTGCCCTCCTCGAAGAAGACTCGTCGTTCAAAAAGTGAGAATTGACATCCCAAACCGAACCAATAGCACCATCATTTGCGCAGAAGTTTGTCATATCGCAAAACCAGGCTTTGGAAGACCTCGTTGACAAGTGAAGACCACTCAACTCAGTCTCAGCCCAGCTTTCCTCATGTGCTGAAATCAAAAGACAGGCTTGCCAAGGGCAAACACAATTCAAAAATTGACTTGACTGCAGTGGCGCCGGGCTCTGTCTGGGCCCTTGCTAGGCACCTACAGGTAATTGACAAGCATAGAGTTGAGAAAGAGAGCGCCTGCGAAGTTTGGTCATGTGGTCAGAACGAGCATGGGGAACTCGCTCACGATGACAAAATCTCGCGGGCTACATACGCCTCCGCACCGAATTTAAATGGGAGAGGCATTGATCAAGTTTCTGCCGGTACACCTAGCTCGCCATTAGCTGCGTGATTTGATAATCTGTAGGCAATGAATTTACGATTGCCCTTTCTAGATCTGGTGAAGTTTACAGCTGTGGCAACAACAACAATGGTCAATGTGGACAGGCAAGGGTGCGATCACAAACATTGTGCTCATGTTGCTTTTAGGGCACTTTGCTTGGATCAAGAAGGCTCTCCATGGTGAAGAACATGGGCAGAGGAGCTGCCACCCAGATCTGTGCATTCAACGGATGCGAACATACAATGGTTGTTCTAAAAAACGGTAGTCTAATGGCCTTTGGTTACAATAATCACGGCCAGCTTGGTAGTGGAAATAACAAAACACAACCCACCCCTAAACTTGTTCGAGGGCTTGAAAATAGACAGGTCACTGTCTTATCATGTAGTTTGTACCATTCCGTCGTCGCCGTGCTTGAAATGGAAGTTCTAGCTTTTGGGCGCAATGACTTTGGACAACTGGGACTTGGTGACACCTCTCACCGCTCGATACCTCAAAGCATATTGCGGCTGAAAGGGCGTACCATAACTAGCCTAGCGTGTGGCCAATACCACACTTGCATTGTGAGCGGCGATGGAACGGTGCGTAGTAGTAAAATGTAAGGAGCTCTTACTAAACGGAATGCACAGGTCTTGTCGTGTGGTCAGAATGACCATGGACAGTTAGGTCGTGACAACGCCGATGAGAGTGAGAGTAAATTTCACATGATGCCGATATCTCCGATATCTGATTTCCCTACAGCCACCAGTGTGTGTTGTGGATACCATCATCC